GCGATAGAAGCTCTCTCTTGGCCATCACCTGCAGAGTCGAACCATCAGCGAAACTATCCAGGGACAAGGGCGAACCAGCGCCAGGACACTGCTCAAGTAGCCGCGCCTCCAGCATAAGTCCATGTCTGTCAGCATCAAAAGCTGAGCAATTGCAAGCTTGCAGCCAGGAAGCACCCCCTGCTGGGCCACCGCTGCATGCGACGTAGCTTGCCGCCGCGCCGGGTGCCGTGGGGATCGGTGCGTGGCCAGGGCGGCGGAGAGCAGCTGCCTCGGGGAGCCATGCTTGGCCGCTGCGGCCACCGACCGACGCCGGCAGATGCGGTCGAAGCACTTCTCGATGTCCACGATCGTGGAGACTACGCTGTCGTCGGACGCGGGCGACGCCTCGGCCCGCAGCAGGGCCCGAGCTGCCACGTCCAGCGTGGGCTTGCCCGTCGCCAGCGCGAAGTAGGGCCTGTCATGCTCGGGGAGCCAAGTCCGCAACCGCTGCGCCAGCAACTGGGGCCAAACGCGGTAGGTCGCCTGCAGGCGCGCGATGGGTCGCCACCCGCCCTCGGCTTGGCCATCAGCGCGATGTGGGCGGCCATCGTCTGCGACGGCCACCTCTCCCAGCGCCCGACCAGCCACGTGATGTTCACCAGGAGCGCAATGGTGTCGTCCGTGGGGGGACTGATGGCACGAGGAGACAGCCGATCAGCTCCTTCCCCAGTGTGCCACCGGAGGTCTTGGCAGCAGGCCTGACCTGGCCTACCTTCGGCGCGGGAAGCGAGGCTTTGGGGGGCCGACGGATATCCTCCATGACCTCACCGGTGCAATTGAAATCGCTGTGGCGCCGCACGCCAAAACAGTCGTCACCGGCGCCGGCCCCCTCCGCCGACTCCAGCGTGGGCATGTCGGAGACGGCCCGCGCGTGCCAGATGCGGGACCACCCACCCATGTGGTCGTCAGCGACATCTTGTGCAAGGGTGGGGCGACGTCCGTGACGCAGCGCTTGGGAGTGTGGAGCACCAGGGGGCCTGGTGAAGCTGAGGAGCGGCTTCGCTCGCTTGTTGTGACATTCGGTGGCCCACTGCGCGAATGCACGGCGTCTCCCAGCCACGGCCTTGTCCTCCAGCGCATGGGCGAAAGAAAGACTGCAGCCGGGCGGTGGCAACGCGGACGGCGTCAATGGCCGCCTCCCGCAGGTCCACCAGATCCACCCGCGGGCAGCAGCCAGACGAGTGGGCGTGGGCGTCGAGCTGCGGGCCAGGCAGCGGCCCAGGGTCGGGTGCAAACTCGTGGGCGCTATGATGGCAGTCCCCACCGCGACTAGCCAGTGCGCCGCGAGCAGCGCCTCTCCTGGCCAGGCCACCACGGGTCAGGTCCGACACGCGGCGCTGCGACGGCACTACGCCGCGCGCTTCTTCTCCCCGCAGTCGCCAGCAACAGGTCGGTCACGTTGAGCCACGACAAGCCCTCCAGCATCAAGACTATCCTCTGCGCCACGTACCTGCGGGACACCCGTCTTCTTGCAAGTGATCCTCCTGCGCGCCCCCATGGCGATTTGAGCCCCTGAGGTGTTCCCCCCCGTGGGGGCTTCCTCGGGGGCCCTTCCGGCAAAACAAGGCGGCCGCGCGCCCGTGGCGTTCCTTCGCGCGGGGACACCCGCGGGACTTGGCGTTCTAACAACAAGCAGACCACCACCTTCAGGGGGAGAGGGGGCATCGGCGCAGGCGCGCCCCACCTCCCCGAGATGCGGGCCAGAGCTCTTGCCAGGCGTCGAGGCAGCCTTGTCGAACGGCACCTGGTATCTTCCTACCACTTGGAGCGGTCGCGCGGTGGCCCCTGGCTTGGGGGCAGGGCCGCAGGGTGCTCGGTGAGCTGCCCCCCGCCCCGCCCAGATCAACGCGCCGCCCTTCCAGGCTGCTGCGGACCCGCCCGCGCCACCCCGCCAGCGACGGCGCGCTCTCCCAGCCTCGCGCCAGCGGCAGCCCTCGGGCCCGTGGCGCTCGGACGGCCCGCGGGCACCGCAACGGCCTCCAAATCCACGTCCAGGGCGTCGACGGGCCCGCCGACGCCGAACTTGGCGTCATGCGCAGCAGCCCCTCCTGGAGGCAGTCTCGGCGGCTGCCCCGACGGGCCCCCGTCGCGTGCCGGTTCGCGCGGGAGGCGCCGGCTGCGTGGGCGAAATCGTCCGCGCAGGGAGGCCCCGCAGCGGCCTCGGCGGCGGCCCCGACGGGCCCATGGCGCGGGCCGGCTCGCGCGTTGGCGCCAGCTGCGTGGACGAGATGGTCTGCGCAGCGGCCCCGACGGGCCCCCGGCGCGTGCTGGCTCGCGCGGAGGCGCCAGATGCGTGGGCGAGATCGTCCGCGCGGATCAGGCACAGCCCCCAACTGGTGCTCCAGCCGGGCCAAGCATTGAATTCCCGCAAGTCATACTCCAGGATGCCGCGCACCGTGGGCAGGAACCCCCCCTCCCCTCCCCCTCCCGTGGAGTAGATCTTGGCTGTCTTTGGCGCCTGTTCCAGGCAGGTGGAGTCTCCCCCATAGGACGCGCTGTAGCAAACAGTCGCACTAAGCAGAGGTCCGCAACCAGACCCCCCCTTCAGCCCATTGTCGAAAACCGCCGAATAAAAGAACGGTCGTGACGATGAGAGGTCGCAACCTGTGACCGTTGCGGAGCGACAGGGGCCTCGAGACCATGGCCCCCCGCGACGTTGAGGAGGAGGAGGAGGAGGAGGAGGAGGAGGAGGAGGAGGAGGAGGAGGAGGTGGATACCCGGCCGCCATCAGGCCACGAGGGCGACGCTGGAAGAACGGCCGGGTAAAGGAGATTGTCGGCCGCGGGACTCCATCGTGAAGGAGTGCTTGGGGGAAGCCTGCTACAAGCAGGGCTAAAAACTGAAGGGCAGCGACATCCGCAACCGCAGCAACAACTACGATGAGAGTTATAGCTTGGGGGAGGGCTGCAGCTACGAGGACAGCAACATCATCCACAACGACACCTGCAACTACTGGGAGGATTACAGATACAGTAGCACTGCTACCCTGGAGTAGTGCGACAGCCACGAGGTTCTTCGCACGTTGGAGGGGAGCAGCGGCCAGGAAGAGGCGAGCTACACCTTGAAGGAAGATTTCAGCAGTCGGGAAAGCAGCTACACCCCGAAAGGTACGGAGAGCCTCGACCTGGAAGAGGGCAACAGCTGGAAGGCGAGCTACGACGGAGGACTATACCCTCACAGGCAGCTATATCATGGAGGAGAGTTGCAGCCACGGGGAGCTACATCCTGGATGATAGCTACAGCCAGAAACAGGCGATCTTAATCCTGAAGGAGGAATGTAGATACGGAGACAGCTACGCCTGGAAGAAGAGCTACACCTAGAGCGAGACCTACGTCGTGAAGGCGGGCTAGGCCAGGCCCCGAAGGGGGAGCTACTACGAATGCGTCAGAGGCCAGTCTGAAGCTGTACGGACGGCAACGGAACAGGGGCCACCAGCAACGAGGATGAGCTAATCGGGTCCAGACGTGTGGCTCGTGTTGGGTGGACAGCGTCGTGTTTGTCTTTGTTTTTTTGTCTCTCCTTTTTTATTATTATTTTTCCTTTTCTTGTATATGTTGGAGGGTCAAAAAGAGAATGCAATTGTCTAGATGGCGGGAGTAATGGGCCGCTCCTGGAATGCGGCCAGCGCTGCTGCGGGAAGGCCGTTCCGAAGGGCCGAAAGTAGCACCGCCGAGAAACGCAACACAAGAAACAATGCCTGAAACCTCGTGCGTGAAAACAGTGAGCGGGAGGGGCGGTGCCCGCACGGGGGGGGATATCCTCCTCCTCCTCCTTCTCTTCCTCCTCCTTCTCCTCCTCCTCCTCCTCCTCCTCCTCCTCCTCCTCCTCCCCCTTCTAGTTCTCCTCCCGCGCTCCCCGCCTCCTGCCCAGGGGTCGTATGCCTCGACTGGGGGCGGGCTGGGCGTCGTGACGGGTGGGAGGCATCATCTTCCCCACCCGGCGCTTGGACTTCTAGGGGCCCTCGCTTGTTCTGAAAGGAACCTCCTTCTGCCCCCCCCCTTTGTGAATTAGAGCTGTGCGCGGCCCGCTTAGCTTCGACCGGAAGAGGTGCTTAGGGGCCACATGCGAACCCTACCCCTACCCCCCCACGATTTCTGAGGGGGAGGGGTAGGGTTCATGAGTGGCCCCCTAGGTGCGCTCTCGACCCGCGGATTAAAAAAAAACATGTTCTACGAGGAACCAGGCGGGTCTGCCGGCCCGGCCGGCCCGTGGTCGCCCTGTCGCTGCCCCGTCGCCGCTCGTCGCCGGCTCGCTCCGGGCTGGTCTCGCTCCGGGCTTTTGCGATCCCCCCCTCGCCGCCCGGGTCGCCGCTCGTCGCCGGGCTCGTCGCTGGGCTCTCCCGCCGCCCTGGCTAGCCGGTGGTCGCCCCGTCGCCGCCCCGGCGCAGCTCGCCGCGGCCCGTCGCCGCCCCGTCGCCGCCGCCTATGTATCACACAGCTTGTGCCGTACATCGTCCACGTCTCCTCGGCCAGGCCCATCCTGAACCCAGGAGCTTTGCATACGCCCTCCTGGCCAAGCCTGGAGGGCGCGGCGTATACACCGTTGCTGGGTTCAGGAAGGGCCTGGCCAGGGAGTGCTGGACATGTGTAGACTTCGTCGCCCTAAACGTAGATTGTACCATACAGCATATAGCTTGCACCACAGAGCTTGCACCACACAGCTTGCGCCACATAGAGTGCACAACCTCGTATAAACCACTGTTTGGTATCCGCGCTGGCTATCAATGTGTAGTTGCTGAGGGGGGATGGGTAGGCGGGAGGGCAGAGTGTGAGGGGGACAGGGGATGTGGAGGGCGGAGGGGGGACGGGGACGGGGAAGGGTCCGAGGGGGATGGGCGTGAGCCTTTCTCCTCCTCCTACTCTGCCTTCTCCTCCGTTCTGCCGCCGCCTCCGCCGTGGCCGTTGACATTCCAGCACCCCCGGAAGCGTTTTCACAAGCGTCGCGGCGTCCACCCTGGCAGGGCCCGCGGATCCACGCAGGCCAAGAATCGATTACGACGTCGTCATGATGCTGAATCCCGGTCTGGCCGCAGGAGGGCCCCGGGGAGGAGGACAATGAGGGGCAGCAGGAGGCGCAGGATGACGCGGCGGAGGAGGAGGGGGAGGATTGCAGTTTAATGTTGATGCACTTAAGTCAGGAGGGGAAAAAATACACAGACACAATTAATCGGCGATTCCCAGAAAATATGGGAAAATATGGGAAGTGGGGGGAAGACAAAAACCCAGAAAATATGGGAAAGTATGGGGGATATTTTTATTTGTGTGTATTTATTTGTGTGTCCCAGTTCCCCTTCATTAAGAGTAGGCATCACCCTGTGTGTCGGGTGGGGCGCTTGGGCTCACCCGCCCTATCGAGGCGGTGCTGATGGCTCGTCCGCGCCTGCCGCAAATCTTTAGCAGACGCCTGTGCCAGCTCAACGTGGAAGGCACATCCGCCGACGGCCATGTCCCGGTGACAACGGGGTCTCGCGGAAAACGTCCCTTCCTGATCCGTCTCGTCCTACGCATCCTCAACCGTGCTTGCTGCCACTGGTGGCAGGGGTTGCCGAACCCTGGGTGTGTCGTGCCAGAGGGCACGAAGAGGGCCCCCAGAGAGCTTCAAGAGGGCTCCAAGAGGGCCCCAGGACGCCGCTGGGCGCGGGCCCACCATTCTGCCACGAGAGGCCTTTCTGGGGCAGAACGCTTCCAGCCCTTTCTTGGAGGGGCCCGAAGTCCTAAAAAGAGCCGCAAGAGCGCCCCCAGGAGGCCCCAAGAGGTACTTGACATGCTTCTTGGGCATGCCATCTTCGGCCGTCTTGGGGCCCTCTTGGGGGCCTCCAGGGGCGGCTCGGAGCGCTCTTAAGCCATCTAGGAAGCGCGCCTGGGCCCTGGGGCCGCGCCGGTGGCCGCTGGAGGGGGTTGGTCCACTGCCACTGCTCGCCCATTTGGCGAGCGCTGAACGCTGCATTGTAGTAGAGAGATGACAGAATTGGCGAATGACGGTCGAAGCGTTGGCAGAGCTGGTCACGGGACGGTGCACCGCTTAGGGGGGGGCGGGCTGCCAGAGCCGCAGCCAAGGAGATGGACGTGGGTAGATGGATCGTGAACAATCAAGCGTGAAGACTGCGACGATCGTGGCAGGGTCTTTCTGGTACCTTGCTGGTGGCGTCGCTGCAGCAGCTAACGAAATCAAAACTAAGCCCATAGCTGTGGTCGTACTACTGCGAATTGGACTGATGTTTGCACAAGGGATGGGCAGGGGAAGGGATAAGAGCTACGGTTCAAGCAAAGCCGACATCGGCATATACGTATCGAACGATGAATGCTTCGTGAAAAACTCAGGTCTGTGCAGACAGAGGCGAGTCAATAACATGCCAAACTCGCGCCGGGCAGTGGCAGAGGGCACGAAGAGGGCCCTCAGAGAGCTTCAAGAGGGCTCCAAGAGGGCCCCAGGACGCCGCTGGGCGCGGGCCCACCATTCTGCCACGAGAGGCCTTTCTGTGGCAGATTGCACCCGGCCCTGTCTTGGAGGGGCCCGAAGTCCCAAAAAGAGCTGCAAGAGCGCCCCCAGGAGGCCCCAAGAGGTACTTGACATGCTTCTTGGGCATGCCATCTTCGGCCGTCTTCGGGCCCTCTTGGGGGCCTCCGGGGGCGGCTCGGAGCGCTCTTAAGCCATCTTGGAAGCGCGCCTGGGCCCTGGGGCCGCGCCGGTGGCCGCTGGAGGGGGTTGGTCCACTGTCACTGCTCGCCCATTTGGCGAGCGGTGAACGCTGCATTGTAGTAGAGAGATGACAGAATTGGCGAATGACGGTCGAAGTGTTGGGAGAGCGGGTCACGGGACGGTGCACCGCTTAGGGGGGGGCGGGCTGCCAGAGCCGCAGCCAAGGAGATGGACGTGGGTAGATGGATCGTGAACAATCAAGCGTGAAGACTGCGACGATCGTGGCAGGGTCTTTCTGGTACCTTGCTGGTGGCGTCGCTGCAGCAGCTAACGAAATCAAAACTAAGCCCATAGCTGTGGTCGTACTACTGCGAGTTGGACTGATGTTTGCACAAGGGATGGGCAGGGGAAGGGATAAGAGCTACGGTTCAAGCAAAGCCGACATCGGCATATATCGGCAAACCGCACGTACTTGACATGCTTCTTGGGCTTGCCGTCTTCGGCCCTCTGGGGGCCCTCTTGGGGGCCTCCGGGGGCGGCTCGGAGCGCTCTTAAGCCATCTTGGAAGCGCGCCTGGGCCCCGGGGCCGCGCCGGAGGCCGCCGGAGGGAGCGGCGGAATGAGGAGGGGGATGAGGAGGGGGGATGAGGGGGACACGAAAGAGTGTGCAGGACTACCGGCCTTGCCGCCTGGTGCGTCCTTGAGGCAACTGCCTCGCGACGGGGGCCAGCGTGCAGTATCTGAGGAGGCACGAAACCTGCCTTTGCCGCCAGGGGGTGGCAGAAGATGGAGGGGGAGTGAGGGGGATTGGCGGAGACGAAAGAGTGTGCAGGACTACCGGCCTTGCCGCCGGGGGCGTCCTTGAGGCGGCTGCCTCGCGACTGGGGTGAACAGTTCTACCGGCCTTGCCGCCGGGTGCGTCCTTGAGGCAACTGCCTCATGACTGGGGCAAGGTGCAGAATCTCAAGATGCACGCAACCCGGCCTTGTCGCCAGGGGGCGGCGAAACAGGGAGGGGGAGGAGGGGGATGAGGAAATGCGCGAACATGTGCAGGACTACCGGCGTTGTCGCCGGGTGCGTCCTTGAGGCAATTGCCTCGCGACAGGGGCCAGCGTGCAGGATCTGAGGATGCACGAAGCCCGGTCTTGCCGCAAGGGGGCGGGGCGGCGGGATGTGGAGGGGGAGGAGGGGGGGTGTGAGGGGGACATGTAAGAGTGTGCAGGACTACTGGCATTGCTGCCAGGTGCATCTTTGAGGCAACTGTTTCACGACAGGGGCCAGCGTGCAGGATCTGATCTGAGGATGCACGAAGCCTGGTCTTGCCGCCAGGGAGTGGCGGAAAATGCAATCCGGCCTTGCCGCCAGGGAGCGGCGGAAGAGGATGCGCGAAAATGTGCAGGACTGCCGGCCATGCCGCCGGGTGTGTCCTTGAGGCAACTGCCTCGCGACAGTCGCGTGCGTCCGACCGCCGTTGAGACCGAGGTATCAGGGACCTCGTATGCTGGTGTCGCCCCAGCTGCCGAACCCCTGGGGCGTTGGCGCCCCATGCGTCCTGACCAACATTCACCCCAGGGGCTGCGGCAGCCTTCGGCACGGGGCGGAGGAGGAGGAGGAGGAGGAGGAGGAGGAGGAGGAGGGGGAGGAGGAGGAGGAGAGGAGGAGGAGGAGGAGGAGGGGACGAGGACGAGGAGGAGGAGGAGGAGGAGGAGGAGGATTTTTTAACGCTCTACTGCTGCTTGACCCCCTCGCAAGGGGACCGTCTGAAGCCCAGGGCCATGCCCCCGTGGCGTCCACCACGAGCCCACAGGCACAACCTGCGGGCCAACCGTCGGGGCACGTGCCCCCGTGGCCAGAACCAGGGGGAGCACGAGCTCCGCGAAAGAAGCGCGAGACAGGGCACGCAAGGAGGCCGTGCTCCGCGTGCCCTGCTCGGGGTAGGGGGCGCCGGAGGCCATGCTCCGGCGCCCAGCCAGCCTACCCACCACCCACACCGTGGGTGGCCGCGGCGACGAGGGTCCCAAAGGACGGGCTGCGCGGCGCCGCCAAAAGACGACGCCGCGCCACCCGCCCCCAGGGACCAAGGTTTCGGACCCCAGGACACCCAGGACTGAACCAAAAAGGGCACGACACGACGCGACACGACGGGGGGACGCAACGGCCACGACACGACACGTAAGACACGACACGGACGAACGACACGACAGAGACGAGCCGCCGGTCCCGCCCCAGGGCGGCGAGCGCTGGGGGGGGATCCAGCACCGCCCTGGGGGAGGGCACGGGACCTGGCGACCCCCCGGGGGAAGGAAACCGCACTTTGGCGGCGCCCCCCGGGATGCGGGGGCTTGTCGCCCCGAGGGCCCGGCGGTCCCCGCCTCCGCCAGGGGGCCGAAGCCCGACCCCACTCTTGGGGGCCCCCCGGAGGAGGAGGAGGAAGAGGTGGAGGAGGAGGAGGAGGAGGAGGAGGAGGAGGAGGAGGAGGAGGAGGAGGGGGATGACGAAAAGGCGGAGAAGGAGGAGGAGGAGGACCTGCATCATAACCTGCGAACGAGCCCCGGATGATCCTGCTCGATGGTGTAAGCACGATCGGTCGGGACGAGCAAGTAGGTCTCAGACGTTGCACTGTTGGAGTCACTGGCTACATGCACGGTGGCATGGAGCAAATGGGCGAGTGGTTTGGACTGTTGTGGCGCCGCGACACCGACACATTTTCCAAACCCATCCCGCATTGAGCTGGACTTTGTCTTGCCACTGCTTCAACCCGATAGAAGTTCCGAGACGGCCCCGAAGGAGGCCAAGCACACTTTCACGACGGTTTACAATGCTTTGTGACGGCCCCAGCGGCTTGTCAAGTGGGCCATAACCAACGACGCTATCCCTTCGTACGCTACAACCTCCCCTATCCCATCGCCATGTGGCTGATCGATGATTCGAGCATAATTGTCAGTATGTTTTCCCAGCATTTTTCGTTTTGCAAAGGGAACGCTGCGCCCCATCTCTTTCTCCTCACCTCCTCCCCCTCTTTGCGCCTGCCCCGCACAGGTACAGTGCGGCGCACCGCTCGTACGTTTCGAGGCCCATAGGGAGCTCCACCCACGGTCTCAGTGAACGCGGACGCATGCCCCCCCCCCCCGTCCATGTCAGCACACCACTCACACGTGTAGTGGCCCTAAAGGGAGCTCCTCTTCTTTGGTCTCATTCCGGTACCCACACTTGCATATGGTTGGGGTAGTTCGCCAGAGTATTTTGTTGATCCTTCTCCTTCTCTGTCTCACTCATTCTGTCGTCCTCATATAGGCGTTTAAGTGGGCAATTCAAATTGTATGTCTGTGGCGCGCCTGGTCGGAATTTGGCGTCCAACTCGAGTGCCATTTTGCTAGCTAGGGTATCCAAACCGCTCTGTGAACAGCGTGCTGTGGAGTTATTTCTTGTTTTTTAATTTCCCGCTGCTGTGTATGTATGTCTGTCTGTCTGTCTGTATGTCTGTCTGTCTGTCTGTCTGTCTGTCTGTCTGTCTGTCTGTCGGTCTGTCTGTCTGTATGTATTCATGTATGTATATACATATGTGTGTATGCCACAAATGCGCGATAGGTTAACACAGATATTTTCCTGTTGCGCAGTAGCGCACAAGGCCCCAGACACAGAGAGACTAATGACGAGACGGACACCTCTCCAGCGTTCGAGTGTCGATTCCTGGGCTAAGCCCGCGAGAAAGCGAAGTGCTGAAACGCAGCAGGTGGGGAGCCAGGGGGGCGTGGGATGGGGTATACTGTATTCGCCGCAGGGCCGCGGCGTCCCGCGTGGCGTCCCATCTGTATGTGTGACTACAAGTAGAAGTGGCATGATTGGTATCCCTGTAACTTTTCGTTGTCGGTATGAGAGTTAATCACACAATGCAGTATGTATCTTGATACTGCTAGGCGGAGTTGGGGTCCACGGACCTTACCCGACACGGGTAGTTTCTTTTCGTTATTCTTCTTATTTTTTCATCCTCGTCAAGCATCTCGCGAGCCAGAACGGCTCGATCACAGTACACAATATTGCTGGCCCTCGCCGGCTTCTCAACAACCCATTTACCCTACTCGCTTCTTTTATATATTATGTTCCATGGACTATATCGATATAAACGTATATATTTTTGCATATCTACATGCATGTATGCATGCATGTGGCCCTGTAGATATGTAGGTACGTCGGCATATATTTTCTTAATATCTATATATGCACATATATATATATATATTTATGTAGATATGAAATTCATGCATGCATGTCTGTATGTATGTATGCATGCATGTATGTATGTATGGATGCATGCATGTATAGATGTAGGTATGTAGGTGTGCAGATATGTCTTTATGTAGGTATGTAAGGCATGTCATGTATGCATGTGTGCACGTATGTGTATGTAGGCATACATGCATGCATTTATGCATGCATGTAGATGTATGTATATGCACGTATATGTATGCATGTGTGTATATGCGTATGTTTGTACGTATGTATCCATGTAGATACGTGTATGTGTATATGCATACATTCATGCATGCTTGCTTGCACATATGTATGTATGCATGTATGTTTGTATGCGGGTATACATATCTGCATGCATGTGTGTATGCATGTATGTATACAGGTAGACGTGTGATGCATTTTAATGACATGTATTGCAATGTAATGTAAGGCACTGTAATTCAATGCGATGTAATGTAAGCTAATGCATTATATATATGTGGATGTGTATGTATTTGCATGCGTGCATGCATGCATGCATGCATAGATACCTGAATGTCTGTATGTATGTATGCATGCATGCATGCATGTATGTATGTATGTATGTATGTATGTATGTATGTATGTATGTATGTATGTATGTATCTATGTCTGTCTGTCTGTCTGTCTGTCTGTCTGCCTGCCTGCCTGCCTGTCTGTCTGTCTGTCTGTCTGTCTGTCTGTCTGTATGTATGTATGTATGTATGTATGTATGTATGTATGTATGTTGGTGTGTGTATGTCTGTTTTGTTGTTTGTATATATGCATGTACGTAAGTATGTGTATACTGATATATTATGACCTCATACACCTCTGTATGCATGTATGTGTAGAGTGCCGAAATGTCTTGTGGCAAATAGATTCAGCGAAAGTATGACATTTTACGGGAGCAGCGTGAAATGGTTTACCTGGTTCTCCAGCTCCCACCGTTTCCCCGAAAGCTCTCCGCCCTCCTTTCTTCTCCCCTGCTTGCCGCCCGCTCGCCCTGCCCTGCCCGAGGCGTCACACTCGGCGTCATGGTCAACATTATCAGCCTGGAGCCCAGGTGCGCTGGAGACAGTGCCTCGGCTCGGGATCGCCACCTCCCTTCTCCTTCAAGGCTTCAGGGTGCGCACCAGTTGCTCCCTCTGGTGAGGTTGCGGACCTAGCGGCCCCTCCTCCTGCCCGGCCTTCACCAGGACGGGTGGACGGCCTGTGGCCTTGCATCCCAGGCGGACTCGCAGACATAATGCTCGGGGGCGGCCAAGAGGGGGGGGATGACTAGGGGGGATGGATATCACGGCGGGGGCCATGATCTCTCCCCAGATTTCATGGCGCCTCTTCTTATTTCAATGCTTCCCCGGCCCCCCCCTCCTGGGCTGCGCACATGCCGCCGGCCATTATTTGCGTCCCCCCCCTCTTGGACGCCCCCCTCTTGATAGCCCCCCGAAATAACAAGTCCATCGCACTTGAACGCGGATGTGTACATTTATACATGCAACGTCACAGGCGGAAGTTGCCTACTGTTGTCTGTGGCGCCCCCGGCGCCTCTGGCTAGACCCGTCTCCAGGCGCGCTGTCGCCACTGCACACCGTGCGCCTGCGAAGCGACCCGTCGGCCTCAGAAATGATTCTTGTGTAAGGTTGCATTTGGCGTTCACGTAAGTTTGAAGATAGCGGCTTTGATTCAGTTTTTGCCAACACAGTAGTGACGCTGACTGGTGGATTCTCCAAGGCGCGTCGATCATTCACTGCCCACGCGTCTATCCTGAGTTACGATCCCCCCACGGTCCTTACGTTCTGGATGGAGCCCCATACATATTCGTGCACATCAATGACAATCCGAACCTGGGCAGCATCAAGCTGGGTGCAGCAGTTCATGTGAGGGTTGTGGGGTCTGCTGGTGTCAGGCGCTATGGCGTGGATATGATGCGTTTTTTTTTTTCTGGTAAGGAGCAGACGCTGGAGGACGAAACTGTTGGCACCAAACGCTCTGGCGTGGAGGTTGCGTTGGCAGAAGACCGAGGCCCGAGCATCGGCCAGAGGAGCATCGACGAGTGCTACGACTACGGCGGCGTCGATTGCGTCGACTCCTTGCGGAAGCGGTGGCGCGGGCTCCATATGACGTTCGTTTTTCCGGGAGCTTATGCAGCTCATCTCGGACGGCTGCGACGGCCTTATTTGCGCAGGGCATGCGAAGTTGAAGGGCTTCAAGAGCTGGTTCGCACAGCAGGTCGGGGAGGAGGAGCCGAGTCAGGAGCAGATGCAGGCCGAGGCCTGAGGAGGTGCTTCGGGGTCTCGGTCCCCTGGGGCGCGTTCCCTGGCCCTCCTGGCCCTCATGGTTTTGGGCACCTTTGGGGGCCGGGCTCGACCCTCTTGGGCTGCGCGTTGTTTTCGGTGCCTTTCGCACCTCGGCTACGGTCAGGAGAAGGCTCCTCTCCCGCGGCGCAGCGGCCGTGGTGCCGAGCAGGTCGCCAGACCTTATGTAGTCAGCCCCCCAGCCCCTCTTCCTCCATCTTGGATCCCCCTCGGATATCTTGCGACACAATGCCCCGCTCCAACGATGCAGAGAAAATCAACGTGGCCCCTGCTCCAGTCTGACACGCGCCAGATGGAGAAACGTGCGCAACTGAACTCTTCCTCCGCCTCCTCGGCCTCCCCTTTCTCCCTCTCTGCCTCCGCTCCCCGTCCCGCGCCGTCCCCTCCCCTCCTCTCCTGCCCTCCCTTCCGTTCTTTCCGTCCCTCCCTCCCTCCCTCTTCAGCGCCCCTCCGCGTCTCGGGGGCCTCCCGCCTCCCCCCCCATCTTGGGAGCAGCAGGAGCAGCAGAGGTGACCCTGCTCTCCCGCCCCCCCGGCCTTCTCGCCGCCCGAGGCCCGCAGTGGGTGATCGTCCTGGTCCTCATCGTGACGCTCGTGCTCGCCCTGCAGAAGTCCTACAGCAAGGGGATCGCGCAGTGGAAGCAGGACGTCGTCCTCCCCGCCGTCGTCGCCGCCCGCCCCCCATCTCTTCCTCCCTTCGGCGGCGAGCGCGGGGGGGACGTGCGGAGGAGCGGGCCTTGTCGGGAGGCTCGAGCCCCCCGGCGTTCTGAGAAGTCTTCGAAACCTTCCCCGAAGACGCGCAAAACCGTCCCAGCAGGCCCAGAGGCCGCCTTTGAGGAGGCCTTCCCCTTCTCATTTGTCCTCTTCCCCCTCCCCCTCTTCCTCCTCCTCCTCCGTCTCCTCCTCCTCTTCCACCTCCTCCTGTCCACCTCCTCCTCTTCCTCCTCATCCTCGTCCTCCCCCTTCTCCTCCTCCTCCTCCTTTTCCACGTCCTCCTCCTCCTCCTCGTCCTCCTCCTCCTCTCTCCCTCCTCCTCCTCCTCTTCCTCCACCTCCTCCTCCTCTATCCCCTCTTCCTCCACCTCCTCCTCTTCCTCCTCCTCCACCCCCACGTCCTCCTCCTCCTCCTCCTCCTCCTCTTTCTCCTCCTCCTCCTCGTTCCCTCACTTCCCCTCCTCCTCCTTCTCCTCCTTTTCCTCCTCCTCCTTCTCCTCCTCCTCTTCCCCTCCACCTCTACCAACTCCTCTTCCTCCTCCTCCTCCTCCTCCTCCTCCTCCTCCTCCCCCTCCTTCTTCTCATTTCCCCCCCTTGCTCGCCGCCGACCCCCCGCGTCGGCGGAGCGCGCCAGGCCGGCCACGGAGGCTCGGGGTGGAATGCCCCCGCGCGTCCTGGTTCAAGAGAGGGAAAATTGTACAGACACGCGCATTTAGTCGTCGTCCCCCATGGAGAAATGTGGTGGTGGTGGTGGGGGGGAGACGAGCACCCACAACACGTAGGAACGCACATCCATATATATATATATATACGTATAGGTGTATGTCTACGTGTGTGTATGTATGTATGTATGTATGTATGTATGTATGTATGTATGTATGTATGTATGTATGTATGTATGCATATATAGATGTGCATGCATGCATGCATGTAGGTATGTGTGTACGTACGTACGTCCGGATGTTTGCATGCATGTCTGTATGCATGTATGCATGTATGCGTGTAGGTATGTATATGTCTGTATGTATGTATGCATATATACATAGATGTATGAATATTTGTATGCATGTATGCATGCATATGCCTGTGTACATGTACATGCACATGTATATGTATATGTATATGTATACGTATATGCATATGCATATGCACATGAATACGTATGTGTACATGTATATGCATATGTATATGTATATGTGTAGGCAACTGTATATGTACATGTATATGTGTATGTATATGTTTAGATATAGGTATACATGTATATAGGTATATGTACATGTACATGTACAGGTATATGTATATGCATATGCATATGTATATGCATATGTATATGCATGTTTACACGTATTTGTATATGTATACGAATACGTGTATGTGCATGTGTATGTGTATATTGTTAAGTGTATGTGTATACGTATATGTATATGCGTATGCATATGTATATGTATGTGCATATGTATATGTTTATGTGTCTGTATCTGCATCTGTACATGTATATGTACATGTGCTGGTGTATGCATGTGTATATGTATATGTATATGTATAGGTATATGTATATGTACGTGTACATATATATATATGTATGTATATGTATATGTACATGTGTATGTGTATGTAGATATGTATATGTATATGTATATGTATATGTATATGTATATGTATATGTCGGTATATATATATATATATATGTATGTGTATTTGTATATGCAGATGTATATGTAACATGTATATGTATATGTATATGTGTATGTACATGTATTTGTATTTTTATACGTATATGTATATGTATTTATATGTATATGTATATGTATATGCATATGTATAGGTATATGTACATGCATATGTATATGTATATGTATTTATATATGTATATGTATTTATATATGTATATGTATATGTATATGTATATGTATATGTATATGTATATGTATATGTATATGTATATGTATATGTATATGTATAGGTATATGTATATGTATATGTATATGTATATGTATATGTATATGTATATGTATTTGTATATGTATATGTATAGGTGTATTTATATGTATATTTATATGTATATGTATACGTATATGTATATGTATATGTATATGTATATGTATATGTATATGTATATGTATATATATGTATGTATATTTTTATATATATATATGCATATGTATATGCATACATGCATATACATATTCTTGTATGTATGTATGTATGTATGTATGTATGTATGTATGTATGTATGTTTGTATGTTTGTATGTTTGCATGTGTATGTGTGTGTGTGTGCGCGGGTAATCCTGGCATGTGTGTCTTTCGGTTTGTGACTTCCTCGGCATCTGCTTTCTTGCGTCCTTTCGCCCCTTGCTTGCGCTGGGTACTGCCCCCCCCCGGGCGCCTGCCTCCGGCTGCCGCCTGGCTGGCCTACCTCCCCGGCTGCCGCCTCGCCGCCGGTGGGCCCCCTCCCGGCGCTGCCCCCCGCCGCCGCCTGGCCCTGCTGTGAACGGGCCCGGCTTCCTCCCTCCCGCCGTCGCCGGGCGTTCTTCCTCTTTCCCCCGCGGCTCAGTTCGCATGTGTTCGTCCAGCAGCATGGGCCCTGCCGCCAGCGCAGTCACTCTGCCTAGCCGCCGATGCATCAGTGTGTCCGTGGGCCCCGCTTACTGGTGCGGTTCCCGGTGCGGCGGCGGGCGTCCGGCTGACCTCGCCGCGAGCGCCCACGTCTTGCAGGCCTTGGGGTGGTTGCCGGAGAACTGCGCCAGGGCGCCCGGGCGGAGGGGCCTCGGGAAGGGGGGACGATCTGTGAACGTTTTCTTGTTCATTGTTTTGCCGCTCGTCAGGCGATCGCAAACATGGATCAAGGGGGCGTGGATTGGCGACGGGTCCCGTTTCCATGGGAAATCGCGGATTTCAGCCGCCGAGCGGGGCGGCACCGGCCGCACTTTGGGGAGGGCACCTCCCCCGATCCATGTTTGCGCGCCCCCGAGTTTTGCCGATCGGCGCGGGCCCTCGCCCCCCCCCATGGAGTAGATCTTGGCTGTTTTTGGCACCTGTTTCGAGCAGGTGGTATCTTCCCCATTATGAGGACGCACGGTTGCAAACAGACGCGTTAAGCAGAGGTCCGGAGCCAGACCTCCTCCTCCCACCCCACACCATTTTCCGCCCAATATCGAAATGCCGTATAAGGAAACGTTCATATGTGGTCGCGCGGGGGTGCTTCCTTGGCGTGGAATCTGAGCTGATGCTGCTGATGATGATGAGGATGATGATGATGATGAGGGTGATGCGGATGACGATGGTGATTCTTGTGATGATGATGGGGATGCTGCTGCTGATGATGATAGTGATGCGGATGCTGGTGGTGATGGTGGCGATGGTTGTGATGCTGGTAGTGGTGGTGGTGGTGGTGGTGGTAACGAAGATGATGGTGGTGAGGGTGGTGAGGAGGATCGTAATGATGATGGTGGTGATGCTGGGGGCTACGGTAATTCTGATGGTGCTGATGTTGATGATGATGATGCTGATGAAGGTAATGATCAGGATGCTGATGCTGCTGATGATCATCATGGGGATGCTGGAGATTTTGAGGATGCTGATGATGACGATGATGGTGATGTTGGTGATCAATGGTGATGCGGCTGTTGATGATGATGATGCTGATGATGGTGACGATGATGATGATGATGATGATGATGATGATGATGATGATGATGAAGATTAGGATGATGAGGATGCTGATGCTGATGCTGATGATGATGCTTACTAGGATAGTGGCTATATGCAGGTGATGCTGATGATGATGAGGATGCTGAGGTTGCTGCTGATGATGGTAATGATGAGGATGATGAGGATGATGAGGATGATGAGGATGATGAGGATGATGATGATACTGATGATGATGGTGATGCATGTGATGATTGTGATGATGAAGGTGCTGATGTTGCTGATGATGATGGGGATGATGATGATGCTGATGATGATGCTGCTGATGGTGCTGATGATGAGGATGTCGAGGATGATGATGAGGATGTTGATTGTGATGATTATGGGGAGGATGCTGATTCTTATGATGATGAGCTGATGATGATGATGATAATAATGATGATGATGATGATGATGATGATGGTGATGATGATGATGATGATGATGATGATGATGATGATGATGTCGATGCTGATGATGGTGCTGCTGATGATGGTGCTGACGATGTTGATGATGATGAGGATGATGCTGACGATGATGATGTTGGTGATGGTGGTACTGATGCTTATGATGATGATGACGGGGTTGCAGCTGCTGATGATCATACTGATCATGATGATGATGATGCTGGTGGTGTTGATGATTACTAGGCTGATGATGATGTTGATGACGATGACGATGACGATAATGATGATGATGATGATGATGATGATGATGATGATGATGATGATGATGATGATGATGATGATGATGGGAATGATGATGATGATGGGAATGCTGCTGCTGATGATGAGGATGAGGATCAGGGTGATGATGATGGTGATAATGATGGTGGTGGTGGTGGTGAAGGTGATGCTGATGATGCTGATGACGATTCGGATGATGATATTGTTGTTGTTGTGGTTGTCGGCGATGATGGTGCGACGGGTTCTGATGCTGCTCACGATGCTGATGCGGACGCATAGGATGATGATGCTGATGTTGTCGGTGGTACTGATGATCAGTATGATGATGTCGATGCTGATGCTGGAGAGGATGCGGAGCATGATGAAGATGATGATGATGCGGCTGATGATGATGTCGATGATGATGATGGGAATGATGACGTGGATGCTGATGCTGCTGAGGGTGATGATGCTGATGATGATGATGATGATGACGGTGATGATGATGATGATGATGATGATGATGATGATGATGGTTATGCTGATGCTGATGATGGTGATGCAGATGGTGATGCTGGTGA